AATAATAATAATAATAATAATAATAATACATATTACACACATTACCGCTGAGGGCGCGATTCTATCACCAGGACTTCAAATTATGTGTGATTTACAATAACCAAGTCGTTTTATTTTTAGCTAGACATATCACTACTGCCAAAACTCTTCAAAACTGTCTTTATCAACATGATCATCATGTTACCAATAGTTGCAGTTATATGGTATCAGCTGTGCCAATGGCGAGGAATAAGTTGCGGATATGACGTACCTACACTTCCCAGGATCCTGTTCGACTTAATCGCTGCCATTATTTGTGAGGAAATATTTTTCTACTATTCGCACAGGTATAGAATTATTTTATATAATAATCTATTAAAATAGGACTCTGTGTGTTACGATTGTTGTCGCACAGAACGCCCACTTGTATATAAAAATAAAGTGTTTTCGTATTGTACGTTTGACGCACACGGAATTACTCGATATTGTGTCCATATCACAGGTTGTTCCACCATCCGTATATCTATAAACGTGTTCACAAAAAGCACCATGAGTGGACGGCTCCCATAGGACTCGTAGCTGTATACGCACACCCCATAGAGCACGTCTTATGTAACATCATACCGGTATTTTCTGGCTCCTTGATATTTGGGTCGCACCTGCTATCAGTCTGGCTGTGGTTATTTGTTGCTATGTGGGGGACAACCATCCACCATTCGGGATACCATTTCCCATTGCTGCTCTCATCGGAATTTCACGACTTTCACCACTTAAAGTAAGTTCACATACAGACAGGTCGGTTATTTTGTCTCAAAATTGGCGGTATGTCGGGGTGTAAGCTTAATTGGCGATAATCTAAAATATGAAAAGGTTCTTTAAATTAAGCTTCTAAAAAATCAAACTCTTCAAGTTGTACCATGGGTTGTACTGCAGCTGCATATTATTATTCTTTGAAATGTGTTTTCCTTTTTAAAGTAGTACGAGGAGGGAGAGGTCGTCGAATTTATAAAGGCGCTCAGCAAAACACAAAAAGCACAATTCTGTGCATGATGGGAATTGAACACTATTTTAGGGTTAGGATGTTTGATACGGTCAGTGCGTATAGGGGAGTATTGGTTGCTATTTATTATGCAAGTACATTACTGTACTAGTAATGCTAAACTTCATTCCTTTATACCACGCCCTCTAGTGGCAGAGCGCTTCCAAGGCGTAAAAATGGGTGAAAGCAATGTCCGACAACTATGTTTGCTGGTGTAGTCGTTCATCATCTGAAATACAGTAAAATCTCTCAAAATGATAATCTTCATTGATTGACAACTACAGATTCAAAGCATATCGACGTTATGAACGGTATTTGCGATACCCATTTACATTACGGTCTTCGTCACAAGAGGGCGCAACTTTTAGGAAGATGTGTCGTATGATGATAGTCATATCCATTTTGTTGTGGTTTTCATATCTGTAATATCAGCAATTGTTTTTTGTTTTTGTTTTTTGACACAGATTCAACTATTGTTTCGGGCTTCTGGGTGTCCTCGATTACCTTCACGGCACAGATGTTCTGTTTCGCAAAAGCAAAGCATCTAAACGACACAAGACTTTGTTTGGTATTACACCGTTATCTAAGAGTATCCCGGATGAAAAGCAATAAAGTTCCCGGATTAAACGAATCTATATTATTGACAACATAATCACAATTAGTTTATTGTAAACTATGCTCAGAACGCTGAGATGCCAATTTGGTTTTAACGTGAGTGCTCTTACCCGTCGTGTATCGGTGCCTACCGATTTTCCACAACTCCGTCATTCTGCTAACTTCATACGATTTTAACACAGAAGAAACCTATTAATATTAATATATTAATTCATTATTAAAATATTATAATGTGACGTCACCGTATAAGTGTGGGATATGTTTATTCTGTATACATGTACTGTCAACAAATTAAACGTTTCAAAAAACACTGATATTTTTAATTCACTACATGGAATGTACAAAGGATCGCCAAGTTCTCCGTTCAAGTGTCGGAGGAGAATCGGAATAATTCGTTCTTTCATGCAATACCTACACGCACTAGAATCAGATGTCAGACGTGTCACTCTCTATCAGCTGCATGGAGTCTCTTTGTGGTAACAATCCTCTGACCGAGCGCCACTCTCAGGGGCCATCGAAGACTATCTCGTTATTTGACAAATTTAAAACGATGTTACAAGTACATTCCTTACAACCAACACTGTTGACGATCCGATTCCTGTGCCTGGATTGCCCTTATATCGCTACGTCCGCCCACTAACTTCGATGATTACGTTCAAACACCATGCATTACCTCAAATTATTTTAACACTTCATCAAGCGTTCAAATGTTCAAGTCTAACAAGCAAATTCATTAAGTCATTTTCGGTCCAATATAAGTATGTTCGTATTAATTCTGTGACTCCATTAAAGTTGATAGGCTTTAGTTGGGGGATTGTACGTCATTGTACATTGAGAGATTGGCAACGGGCTTGGTTGGATCTTCGGCTCACTGTGCCCAGACCAGACGTTGGAAAGATTCCAATGGCGAAGTAGAGAATTACGTTCTCGAGAATTAGCTAAGCGACAAGATATCGCGACAATTTAACTGTCACAAAAACATTAAACTAGTAATTTTTCATCGCTTCGGTCTTTATGTCACTGGTCACATTAGACATGTGGCCTTTATATAAAGGTCACTTTACGCGTAAATTTGGACTGCTCAAGGGTGGTCACTATGGACAGGTGGTCTTTATATAAAGGTCACTTTACGCGTAAATTTGGACTGCTCAAGGGTGGTCACTGTGGACAGGTGGTCTTTGTATAAAGGTCACTTTACGCGTAAATTTGGATGCTCAAGGGTGGTCACTATGGACAAGTGGTCTATATATAAAGGTAGTCTAACTAACACATTTTTACTATATTAGTATACTAGTATTTTAACACAAGTAGTATTTGACAAGAATTACCGGACGCTGTGTTGTCTGCAACAGAATTGACAAGAGGGAATATCTGTAAATTGTCGCTGATGGCGCTGTTCACACGCTTTCATTGACATGGGATCTGAGTGGCGGTTTATTTTGTTTTTCGTTAACTTTAAAAATGACGAAGCACTATTGCAATGTGTCTGGTGTTAAATACCCATGAACAAATGTAATGGAAATAATGGTTCATTCTAAATGAAAAATCGTAACCACGGGTCAGACATTCCATCAGTACATCGTAGACTTTATTAAAACAAAACACACCGATAAAAGACTTCCATTTACGACAATGTGAGTTTTTCGTTTTCATGGAGAAAAACACAGTATGTTTACCAAGTAATAATATATTTATTAAGATTTTGTTCATACATGAGTTGTTGACAGAGCACACTACATATTTTGTATTTTCACTCAACTTCTTTCAGAAACATAAATGAATTGCTAAAAAAAAGTAAAGTTTTTTTTCTTTATTAACATCGTGTAATCGGTAATTATTAAAAGTGTTAGTGTCATACGGAATACATTTCGTAAGGCAATATTTTCAATATATATTTCTAAATTTTCTTGTCAAAATCAATTGTTTTTTAAAACAACAATAGTAATAATTTATAGACTACGATGACCAACTAACAGACTATGATAACAAACTACTACAATACAACTATCAACTACCAGACTACGATTACCAATTACCGGACTACGAAATCCACTACTAGACTAAGATAATCAACTACCAGATTATGATTACCAACTATGATTACGATTACCAACTACCGGACTTCAATAATCAACTACCAGACTCATATAACCATATACCAGACTACCATAACCAACCACCATATCACGATACACGACTACCAGATTACGATTCCCACCTACTATAACCAAATACCAGACTACCATAACCAACTATCAGATTACGATAACCAACTATCAGATTACGATTCCTAACTACGATTACCAACTACCGGACTACAGTAACCAACTACTAGATTAAGATAACCACCTACCAGACTATGATAACCAAATACCAGACAACGATTATCACCTACCAGACTACGATAACCAAATACCAGACTACGATAACCAAATACCAGACTACGATAACCAACTACCAGACTACGATAACCAATTACCAGACTACGATTACAACTACCGTACTACAATAACCAACTACCAGATTAAGATAGCCACCTACCAGACTAGGATAACCAAGTACCAGACTACGATTACCAATTACAGGATTACGAAACCAACTATGCATTTGTTTTCTATATTATATGTATCTATATGTCCTAGCCAATTGTCTTTTTTCAGAGTGTATAATAATTCTTGCAACTCATTCATCTTTTTATATCTACAGTTACATTGATTTGTTTACAGTTTTCTAATCTGTAATATCGCTAATTCAAGATGTCGCTAATTAAAAATAAATCATATTCTGACAGCGAGCTTATTGATCGATAACCTCAGATTCTGCCAATTCACAAATTGAGACAACTTCGCTAAAATATCTTGTAGTTATTTCAAAGTGTTTTACAGCATATGCAAATTACAAAATAATTGCTGTACAAATATATCAGAGAGTTTGGCCTACGGGTCTGTCTTTAGGTTTCATTATCCACGGAAAATCAATTCACAAGGAATATTTATATGTCACGCGGCCTCCACCTCTTTTTACTTGCTTCTGAATTCGGTTGAAAGTCAAGCACTAAAGTCGAACTACATACCACCATACACACGACAAAATATTAGATGAGTCCAAGTAATGTACTACGCCACACATAGTTGATTTATTTAGATGTTTTTATATTGTTCTATAGAGGGCGCAGTTATTATCCCGGCAAAGAAATAGCTACTAGTGGCTATGGCTATTAAAACGATGATCATGTCAGTTTTCAGTGATTTTACTAACAACAGAGAGATATACAGGCCGAATTTCTCCTCAATGGTGGTTATTCACCTTCACCAAATATAAAAAAAAAGAATTATCAATGATGGACTACACCGAAAGTTTGTTCCCTGTCTGGTCATTGACCAGTGATTCATAAACGTCACTTCCTGTTTACCACCATAGACCTTGAATTAAATCACCGTGGCGTGGCTCGGTATTACCATTTTTACTTTGTGGAAAATTATCGAATAGTTTATTTAGCTACGGAAGGGTTAATGTAAGTAGCGAATTAAGATTAAGTTCTCTAATACCCAGAAACGTACATAAAACGTGAAGAGAATTTAAACCCTACGTTATAATTACACACGTGGTCGACGTGACACTGTCGTAAATAATGGACCCCATTACTCAGCATATATAAACGAAATATCCAATGAGATTTGAGATAATCTGACACTGATATACCAAAGAGGATAAATCATCACAGTTGTATAGTTATCCGCCGAATATAAATACTTACAACTGTAAAACTGAGCGTATTTTACATTGATGCATGATTCAATGGGAATGGTATTGAAATCGTTCTGAATTATATTTACAATATACACAACGGACATATTGATGCAAATAGAATGGGAACAACTGAATCGGTCCCGCGACCGCGACAAGGATTTGTGACGTATCACTGTTGTGTGTTTTAAACTGCAGACAACACATGTTGCAACAGTAGAATTAGCATCGATTCGTCAATAAAGGCGTCATTTGTATTGTAAATTATGTATGACACTAATAATATAGTAACTGATATTAATACACGTCGCGCCTGCCACGATTTTGTCTTCGGCATTATTTATTTATTTATTTATTTATTTATTTATTTATTTATTTATTTATTTATTTATTTATTTATTTATTTATTTATTTGTTGGATATTAGCAGATTTTAAATGCAAATTGCAGTTTATCATATCATCTGAAAATACATCTTCGGTGATTTGCGACATGTTATCAATATGTACTAGTACACTTGTATGTCCGGTCGTCCAATCCGAATTCCAAGTGAAAACAACGCAATTAACCGACAGTTTATCGCGTGTTTATCAGCACATCCGGTATACAAAGTAACAACGTTTGAACGTTGTTGCCCGAAGACTTGACGTCACATCCGGGACGAAATAGTGACCACTACCATATTAATTTTACAAAGAATTTTCAATAGTGTAGATGCATTAAATTTGACGTTGAACCTATTGGATGTCCTGAACCCACGCCGCCCCGAGTGTCATGGCCACGGCCAGTTCACGTTGAGGTCACGGTCATTTTCTCAACTGGACGTTATGGAATTCAAGGTGAGCCATTGATCACGCCCGCGACGTTATCACTCAGCAAGACTGAAGTCTTACTGCACACTGCCGCCAAGTTAACTGCGTCTACGTCGCCAAATAAAACACACTGAACAACAACCAGTTTACTTCGGCAATAAAAACGTTAGTGATTAATAAACTGCGCGGACAAGTAAGAAATCCCGACAAAGCCTTGAATTCATGGACACGCTTTTTATTTGTACACACGGCACCGACCTATAAAGGTCACATTTTTATTATCGTCCCTTTCGCTTTCCCAGCCAAGGTTGTCACGTAAACGACGCGGGTAGGGGGTCTTCATTACAATATTACGGGATACTTGGGCTGGGTAATAAAGCTAAACAACTAGAACGTCGCGCGGCCAATCCGACAACAATAGTTGACCATGCCACTCCCGGGATGCCACCCTAGTCATATCGCTATTTTAAGGGCCCCGAAAACACAAGGAGACATAACATTGCTTTGTTTTGTTTTGTTTTTTGGCAAGATACCTTCACTGCTCAACACAGACACAGTGGCACAGGTTCATCTGGTTCATGTGGGTCACGCCGTAAGACGTAAAACAAATAAGATGACAGAATTGAAATGGTATGAAATCTCGCACACGATATTGTATATTACCTGCCGCCCAATAAGT